CACAACACAAGGACTAGCACAGTGCGCGCTCATTGTGTCTGTGCCACTCTAGATGAGACCTGACACTCCGTTGACTTAAGATACGTTTCATTAAATAAAAATGCAACCCAAAATTCCACGTCGTTTGTCGCCTTGTAGGAGCATTAAGCTCACAATGGCTAAGCGTGTGCGTCAGTGACCAAGCCAAAAGTCGCAAGGGATGAGCAGTGTGGCCTCTACTGGCGTAGCTTTGTAAAGGGAATGAAAGCAACGCATGTTGATTTATGCACATCACAGTGCAGAGGTCGTGCGGGGGGGGGGGTGGGATACAGCCAGGATTCAATGTACGGGTCACGCAAAAGATAAAGGGACCACGCTCAGGAAAAGAGTTAAGGGCGCTGGCAAGAAAGGTGCGAAAAGGGGGGAAAGGGGATTGGGTGAAAAACCCTAAAATAAAAGACATTGGCCGGGAAAGGAGGCGAGAGGGTATATATATAAAGAGGTGTGGGACAAAGGCGCGGGAGGGTCTGCGGGAAGAAAAGGTTGACGTCAACAAGTGTTGGTGCCCTGCCCTGCGTGTTGAATGGGAGTATGGTTTTCCTTAATTGTATGGACTCCCTTTAAACGGTGATACAATCCAGTTGATAATCAGAATATAGGGCCCAATTGTTGCTCTCAGGACCCTCGTTTGCATCTATGTGATCAAGTGCCATTTGTCAATACCGACAGCTGCAATGTCAACTCAATACATTGTGTAATATATTGAGTTTACATGGTTGTGATTATTTTGAATAAAATAGAAACATACGACCTTGAAGGAATATGCTTGTTTTATTCAGCAAATAAAGTGGTACATAAACTGCCTATTTGTGCTCTAATAATAGTACACCCACTTTCACCAGTAAAGCATGGCTTGACAATTTCAGGAAACATAAATGGTACGTTTGGTCAGCAGATGTTTTGGAAAAAATCCTTACAAATGCAAATGATCTGAAGTGATCTGAAATGTAACAACATGAACGCAACTCTTAACCATAAAATAAACACTTATAACGAGGTTTGTAAATTACTATATTTTCAACTGTAAACGTGAATTGCAAAAAGCAGATTTTTTTGGTTAGCATATTCTTTGGTTCTTTCGGTAAAGTCACGTAGATAGAAAAAATAATAATTAAAAGTGAATAAGAATAATTAAAAAAAACACTCATGTAGACTGTAGCATGGTTCTTAACCTGAGTGAGCACACTGGCAGTCTATAATGTAGACTTATTCTGGTGCTTTCAGTAATAAAAAATAAAATTAAAAACAAAAACCACGTTTCAATCGCAACATCAGGAAAAGGGGGTGTTAGCCTCTATATATGGATGTCCATATATACAGACTTCAACCTCCGTCAGCAGTGTGGGTGTGTGGAGCGACGTGCAATACTGATCGGTGTAGACCTACTGCCTGTGTCGGGGTTTTCTCCTACATTAACATTAGCTGCCCCGCCCATGCTGTTGACACACTTAGGCTACGCCCATCTCTAAACCTTGATAAACAGTTTGCCTTTAGAGGCTAACCTCCCTTTTCCTGATGACGACCGCTTGTGTTGCGATAGAAACGTCGTGGTTTGTTTTTAATTTTAGTTTTCTTATTTTTATTACTGAGAGAACAGAATAAGTCTACATTATAGACTGGCAGTACACTCACTAAGGTTAAGAACCAGGCTACAGTCTACATTATAGACTGCCAGTAAACTAAGGTTAAGACCCAGGCTACAGTCTACATAATAGACTACCAGTACACTCACCGAGGTTAAGAACCAGGCTACAGTCTACATTATAGACTGCCAGTACACTTACCCAGCTTAATAACCATTGCTACAGTCTGCATTATAGACTGCCAGTACACTCATTAAACTTAACCAGGCTACAGTCCACATTATAGATTCCCTGTACACTCACTCCGATTAAGAACCAGGCTACAGTCTACATTAGTGTTTTGTTAATTTTTATTCACTTTATTTTTTATTATAATTTTTATATCTACGCGACTTTCCTGAAAGAACCGAAGAATATGAATTCCTGCAGTGACGAAAGTTTAAAGTCAACATTTTTGGGTTAATAGTTATCTGGTAACATTGAAACGTTTAAAGGTAATCAGAATTTTTTTTCAATGCAAATATTGACATATGTAGCGTACTGCACATCAAAGCAAACATGGATGCTGTTTACAACTGTATATAGTATAAAGGGTGTCCAGAAACGGAATCACACATTAAGAATAATAAATGGACAGCAATTTGAACTAGACCAATAAATCTCTCTGTACTACTTTGTTTTTTTCGGTAAAGTCAAGTAGGTAAAAAATAAATGAAAACTAAATTAAATCACGTTTCGGAGGCAACACAAGCTTCCTACAGTTATTTTGCTGTGCCCTTTTTTACACCTGATGAAGGAAGCTTGTGTTGCCTCCGAAACGTCGTGATTTAAGTTAGTTTTTTTATTTATTTTAATTTTATTATTTACCTACGTGACTTTACCGAAAAAAACAAAGAGTATGAAACCTTGCAATCACGAAAGCTTCAAATCTAGAACTCTCTGTACTACTTGGTACTTCTTCTTTGGTTCTTTCGGTAAAGTCACGTAGAATGAGAATAAAATAATAAATTGATAAAATAAAATAACACAATAATATTCTCACGACGTTTCAGCCACAACACAAGCGGCCTTCATCAGGTGAAGGGACGAGACTGTCTGGTAGGACAGCGCTGGAGTGGTCCTACCAGACAGTCTCGTCCCTTCACCTGATGAAGGCCGCTTGTGTTGTGGCCGAAACGTTGTGAGAATATTATTGTGTTATTTTATTTTATCAATTTATTATTTTATTCTCATTCTACATGACTTTACCGAAAGAACCAAAGAAGATGAATCATTGCAGTCACGAAAGCTTTAAATCTACTTGGTACTGTGAAGATGTTACTGTACAAGTCTCATCCTTCCAACTTACGTGTCCACCACGACAGCAGCACCAGCATTAAGATTTGAGCCCCGAGTGCTCATCAACATCTCAGATGTGACTGTTTCAAATGTTTCTATTTTGTGCTATTTAAGATCACTTAAGCGCAAGTATATTAGAAATGCGTTGCTAACATTTCAAACACGCAGTTCAAACTGCCTAATTATACAATACACTTTTATCGACACCATATATTATAACGCCTTATTAAATGGAGAACTCAACACTGGGACATTGATTAAATATGCATTAAAATTTACAATAAACGAACGTTATCGAAAGCAACCAAAATCACACATGCTGGGCTTTTCAAATTGCTAAATATTGACCTGATGTTAAATTACTCGTAAATTACTATTTTCGAAAGCAAAATTTGGCCACATTCCACACAGCTCTTTATGTCATTAAAACGAAAGATGTTCATAATAAAGGTTTTTGGGTTAGATCGCGTTTATTTATAAATGTGTCGTAACCCTCCACCACCCGACACGGCCAATCAGCAAAAAAAGTGTCACGTTGACAAAAGACAAATAATTCACTACTTCAGCCCACCGGTGTGTTGAAGAGTTAATCCACATTTACAGTTTGAGTACGACGTTTCGCTGGTAAATACTTCCAGCATCATCGGGCAATTCGCCAGAATGGTAAAGCCCTCGCTTGCTCCCGGTTTTATATAGAGCAGCACGGTGACGTCATCACTTAACTCATCAGGTGCAGTGATTAGAGGCGGAGGGGGGGTAATGTAATTATATAATCGATTAGTAATCAGTCATTGGTTATGATTAGTAATGAGTTGTAGATTAGTAATTCTTTAAATCAAAATGTAATGTGTATTATTTAATAATACGCTTCCAGGCCGCACTAAGCCGGTAGCTGTCAGAGCGATTAAAGTTATTCTTGTTCCTCTCAATTTCAATGGATTCTCTAATTAGTCTTTGCCAGTAATAATTAGTTTTACACACCACTGCAACATTGTCAAAATCAATTGAGTGTCCTTGTTGACAAGCATGTTCTGCCACTGCCGACAGTTGTGTTTGAGATAATTTAATATTTCTCTGATGTTCTTTTAGTCTTACGCTGATGTTACGTCCCGTCTGCCCAATGTAGCAGCTGCCACATGAACAATTAATCCGATATAGCGACCAGATTGTTAAAACAATAAAAATTCCATAAATCTCAGGAGTAACTGACAAATTAGCCCGCGTTTTGCAACAGCAAAACATTACAGTAAGATTTGGTACAGTACACAAAATTCAAAAACTAGTATCTTGCACTAAAGACGCATTACCTAAACTATCAACAGAAGGTGTATATCGGATTAATTGTTCATGTGGCAGCTGCTACATTGGGCAGACGGGACGTAACATCAGCGTAAGACTAAAAGAACATCAGAGAAATATTAAATTATCTCAAACACAACTGTCGGCAGTGGCAGAACATGCTTGTCAACAAGGACACTCAATTGATTTTGACAATGTTGCAGTGGTGTGTAAAACTAATTATTACTGGCAAAGACTAATTAGAGAATCCATTGAAATTGAGAGGAACAAGAATAACTTTAATCGCTCTGACAGCTACCGGCTTAGTGCGGCCTGGAAGCGTATTATTAAATAATACACATTACATTTTGATTTAAAGAATTACTAATCTACAACTCATTACTAATCATAACCAATGACTGATTACTAATCGATTATATAATTACATTACCCCCCCCTCCGCCTCTAATCACTGCACCTGATGAGTTAAGTGATGACGTCACCGTGCTGCTCTATATAAAACCGGGAGCAAGCGAGGGCTTTACCATTCTGGCGAATTGCCCGATGATGCTGGAAGTATTTACCAGCGAAACGTCGTACTCAAACTGTAAATGTGGATTAACTCTTCAACACACCGGTGGGCTGAAGTAGTGAATTATTTGTCTTTTGTCAACGTGACACTTTTTTTGCTGATTGGCCGTGTCGGGTGGTGGAGGGTTACGACACATTTATAAATAAACGCGATCTAACCCAAAAACCTTTATTATGAATAATATTGGTCGCGAAAGCCTACGTGTTAAAACGAAAGATGGTTTGGGCCTGACACAAATCCCCTTACCGCTGCGCTGTTCCCCCCTCCCCCTGGCTACTCTTGGCCCCCACGCCACTGGTGCTGTCACCTTAAAACTTGCACTGCACAGAGGACCTCAGAGATTATTCATCCTCTCTGTTTTCGGGCGCCACACCATCTTCTCCCATTGGCTGCTCTGGCACGGCGCATCCCATGTTCAGCGGGTGAGGGTTCATCTCGCAAAACCTTTAAACAAAAGGTTAAATCGTTTAAAAACAACCTTCATTTATCATACGAGATGTGTGATTAAATTAGATTTTATTTTTAAGGTAGAGATCGGCCTACAGTTATTCGCAGAGTCCAAAAGCGCTGCAAGTTGTATATGATATCGCAGGTCTTTACGCTGAAAGTTATACGGTTAAGTCCTCGCTTAATGCGTGTTCACACAACGTATTTTCCCTATAACGCGGTTCTTCCATGAGAGAACGCCTTTCGCACAACGTGGAACGCGCCCGTTTTAAAGCGGTTTCTGAGCGGTCGACGAAGAAATACTTTTTTGAGCTGCGCGGCTGAGCGGTATACAGTATGCGGAATGATACAGTAACGCGGCGGTGTACCCTCAGTTATTTGTCCCACAATCTTACTGAATGTGCCTACATCCTATCTCGGCAAACTTTATAGTTAAATTACACTGTGTACCAATTTTTTTGTTCCTGGGTAGTGTTATTTCCTCATTGCTTATGCCTCAAAATTACAGAAAATGGCTATTATTCCCCACACACTTTGCTTTTGTAACCAGGACAGTGATATTTAGAAATTTACCTATTTTCCAGAACATTCCAGATAGATTCAGTGCTGCGTAAACTTGGAGTAACTTCTAGAACATTCTAGAACTTTCCAGTAATATTAATAGTATAAATACAGCAGCCTTAGGCCTACCAGTTCAGTTTAGTTCCAGCTGCCTAAGTGGATACATATCTGCATTTTTCTGAGATGGCATCAAGAGGCTGCAAGCATCCGGCAGACGCATTTTGCTATGTCTGCGGCCAATTTATCAAGACAAGAGCGAAAAAGTTACTCTGTGAAAGCATTTGCAAAGATGGGTGGGCCTACAAGGCATATTTCGGCATGCCTGTCAGGGATCAAGACGAACCCTGGGCACCTCATTTCACCTGCGAGCAATGCAAAAAAACTCTGGAAGGTAAGATGGACAATTGTTGCTCGGAATTTTATTTCATAAAATTTGTTAGAAATGTTAATATTGTAAAAGTTCTTATTTAAAATAATTAAAAAATGTCAATGCTATTGAAAAAATCTATCATACATGAAAAATGTTGCAAGAATTCCTTACATATTAGTCATGGGTGAAATAAAAAAAAATTTGTTGGATGGTACAGAGGGGAAAAGACAGCCATGAAGTTCGCTATCCCAAGAATTTGGCGGGAACCCACTGACCACTCAAGCAACTGCTACTTCTGCATGGTGGACCCTTCCAAAAGTCGGACTGGCAAGAATGAACCTGCTATAACGTATCCGGACCTTCCTTCATCCATCGCCCCATGCCACACTGCCATGAGATCCCCGTACCCACTCCTCCGGAAAGAGAGCAGCCGTCTTTAGAACAGAGCAGCAAGTCAGAGAGCGAGGAAGACGTTGTAGATCCAGATGACAATTTCAGAGGTGGAGCTGAGGAGAGAAACCCATACTACTCCAACCAAAAAGACCTCAATGACTTGATCATAGATCTTGGTCTCACCAAGTCCAATGCCGAGCTTTTGGCATCTCGGCTCAAGCAGTGGAACTTGTTGGATAAAAGTGTGCAAGTCGCAGATCAGAGGAAGCGTCACCAACCTTTTTGCAGCTTCTTCACCTGTTAAGATGGGCTCTGCTTCTGCCACAATGTGACAAGTCTCTTCGAGGCAATCGGAATCACCTGTAACCAGAATGAGTGGCGCCTCTTCATTGACAGCTCATCCAAGAGCCTCAAAGCCGTGCTGCTCCATAATGGTAACAAGTAGCTGTCTCTTCCCCTGGCTCACTCGGTGCACCTCCAAGAGGATTACAACAGCATCAAGACCTTGCTGGATGCCTTGAAGTATGATCAGTACGGCTGGGAGGTCATAGGAGACTTCAAAATGGTGGCATTCCTGATGGGTCTCCAAGGTAGTTTTACCAAGTTTCCCTGCTATCTTTGCCATTGGGACAGCAGGGACACCAAGGAGCACTACCACAGACGGGACTGGCCAGAGCTGACCGAGTTCTCTGTGGGGAGGAACAACGTCAAGTGGGAGCCACTGGTGGACCCTCGGAAGGTGCTGATGCCACCACTGCACATCAAATTTGGCCTTATGAAACAATTTTTCAGAGCTGTAGATAAGGAGTCGGCAGCCTTCAAGTACCTTCAAGACTTCTTCCCTTAGCTGTCTGAGGCAAAGGTCAAAGCCGGTGTCTTCGTTGGACCACAGATAAAGAAGATCCTGGAGTGCAATGAATTCCCCAAGAAGCTCACTATTAAGGAGAAAGCGGCTTGGAACAGCTTTGTCGCAGTGGTTCATGGCTTCCTGGGCATGTGGAGCTCGTTGAGACTGGTGAAAAACTACAGCACAATGGGCTGTAGGATGTCCCTCAAAGTCCATATCCCTGATGCTCATTTTGATTAATTCAAGGAGAACATGGGAGCGTACTCGGAGGAGCAAGGCGAGCGCTTCCACCAGGATATACTTGATTTTGAACGCCACTACCAAGGACAGTATAACGGGAACATGATGGGAGACATTTGGGGGCTGATTCGTGAAGTAATTTACAATATAATCGTAAATTTCGAAAAACTCACTTCTAAATCTTTTGTAGTATTTTTTAATTACTTTAGTATAAATACATGTAATTTTGATTCATGTTTTTTTTATGACTTTATGTCAACGAAAAGACACAATGTCGCCCGTTTCTCATTGAAAATAGGTAAATTTCAAAATATCACTGTTCTGGTCACAAAAGCAAAGTTTGTGGGGAATAATAGCTATTTTCTTTACTTTTTAGGCCTAAGCAATTATGAAATAACACTTACTACCAGGACACAAATTGTGTTAGTGTTATTTATGGGGAAATGTTTTTGCTTAACATTCCACTTTTCATTAAACGAGGACATACTGTATACCATATGGAACCAATTACATGTCATGAACACTTTGCAATCTCTCCTTCCAAGTGCATGCAATACCACATAAAATGGTGAGCAGAGGGAGAGTGTTAAATTCACCACTGCTCTGGGAGGGTATCCAAACTTGTGCCGAGCGGAAGCTTCCTCCACTTGTTACACCTGTCACATTGCACCCAGTTGCGTACGCTGATGCTGCCTTCTTGTTTAAGGCCTGACCTGCATTTTTTTCTCCTCCACCTCTTCCTATTACGCCACGTCTTCACGGCCCTACAGACGTCAATGGACAGCAGTGAAAATATAATAAGCTTTAAATAGAGGCATGTCAATGACCGTATACATGCAGGTCGAGTCGTCATTATTTATGCAGCAGTACATCATGAGGCACCAACACAGCTGAACAAACTGTCGCGTGATTTGCAGTTTCTCTATTAAAAGGTAGTCATGTAACATGTGACCATCATTGCAATTTTATGAACTGCTGAGATTCATGGTCCCGGTATTGAAGAATAACTTTAAAATGTGAACGTAGCTCATTCGGTGATTATATAAGTCACACAAATCTATTACCTATATATGTAACTATTTGTTACACAAATTAAATGCATGCATTGTGAACATAAGAAAAAGATTAATTGCTTAACGAATGTATCGTTTGTAAAAAAAACTCACCACATTCATCAATAACACTGTGGCCTTAAATCTAAAAATATTTTATAGTTGACGTTTTGGGAAATGGTCATTATGCATGATAAAGAAGGACCATTGCCCAAAATGTTGCCTACTATATATATTTTTTCTTTCAAGGCAGCGCTGACGAATGTGTTAAATGTTTTGTTATTTCTACTTGTGCACCACTGTCAATGCAATATCACCAAATCATGTGTTTAATGTAGTCTTTTCACGATATTAAAAGTTTCATGTAAACAACAGACGTATACATAAAAGACCAAACATATAAACCAAAAAACCAAACCCCATGATCCATTGCGGCGTCTGCCGCTTCTCCGTCTGCTCTTTCAGCGTTTGCAAGTACTGCCAGTCCCTCAGACGGTTTGAGCCCGTTTCTTAAAAGACACCAGGAAAACAGCACAATGCAAATGTAGTCACCACAAAAAAAGCAATTTCCACCCATCTGTTTACACACTGGAAAAAGAACGATTTCCATTCCCACTTACGATACCTTCACAATAAGTGATCTTGCACACTCTCTCTGTGGTAGAAAACACTGTATTCCACTCATCTCAGGTAATATTTTTATCAATGCATGGTGAGAAGACAACACTCTTCCTTTGCTGTGCCTAAATTGTGGAATGGCCTTCCCTTGCCGTTTTTTTAAACTCTCCCATTGTTTAAATCTGCCATTGGGCAAAGGTCATACCAGCCATGCCGTCGGTACTTTTTGGAAATAAAGGCCGAGTGCTGTACTTCAAAGATGAGTCATCATTGTCCTGCTCTGTCAGCTCACGGTGATGACACCCGTTGCTGAAATCACACAAGTGCACGTAATTAAACCAAGGGCACACCGAGAACCTACAGCAAAATACAAACTGACGCAATAAAAAATACAAATCAAAATTCGTTTGAGAACTTTGTGTAACCAAAACTGCCTTTAACAAATTGTTAACTGAACATACATATTACTGCACCCTGCGACATCTGTTACTTTACGTTGAAGTGTGCCGACAGATTTTCTTTGAGGCGTGCGCACTTACATGTAGAGCTGCTTCTCGTCCAGGCGCATTGAATCCCACTTGGCATTCACCAGTCTCTTGGTTTGCTCGGTGCCAATGTTTGGATATATATTCTCCAGGTGTTGCTGGTATTTCATTTTGAAATGAAGGTATCTCTTCTTAGACAATTTTGTGTCGCTGCTGAGGTCTTGGTTGTTGCCTTCCTCTGTCGAGCCAAGTGGCAGCTCATAGTGGGCCCCCTCTGCCTCGACTTTTTCAGTATTTGAGCCTTTGACAGTAAAACAGTGTTCAAAAATAAGGACAGTTTGTAAAGAAAAGAAAGCTACATCATTTGAAAAAAAGTAATTTTGCAGTGCAATAACAGTTTTACACCACTCACCCATAATGCTCTACACTTAAACCATGTACATATGCAACACCATAGGGAAACAGGCTGCTCGTACAACGTTTACTACGAGCAACCTTGCATTATAACATTTAATTGGGGAGATCAGTGTAAGAATGGATTACAGCTCTTCTTTGCCAGCTTGCATTTCACACTGAGGCAGTACCTTTCTGGTGATCTGGTTCAGCATGACTGTTCATCTGCATGTCCCTCTTCAGATCATTGAGGTGATCACAGGTGCTGCTCATAATTGCATTCTACCACAGCACCAAATGTGTGTGCAAACATAAATAATGATTAAGGACAGTTTCAGAGCAATTCTAGCTTGAGAAAATCACGTTCTATATAGACGGAAAAAATACGTTTTACATAATACGTATTTTACATAATATATTATTGTGGCTTACTGTTTCTGTACATCATATAGAAATATGGTTGCATCTAGACACTATATTGTATTGATCTATAATTCAAAATAACAATATCAAAATACTATACGCCTACAAATCCATGCCACTCCACAAAAAAACATTGCTATAACCACGATGTTAAAACATTTTTTCACAAAGTCTTAAGTACTTTCAATGTCAACTGCCCCTGCCAACACCTGCGATCCCCGCAGTGCAATGCACTGTGAGCAAAGTGCCAGAGCAAAGCCACACGTGCAATTAATCAGCAAAGTTACCCCCACTGAATGGGGGTGGTATTCTGAGTACCCACCTGGGTGTGTTTGGAGCTCCGGTAACCCTTGACATTTGCAGGCAGCTTTCGCAACAGATTTTTTAAGCCTTTCTGAATATCCTGCTCCCTCTTTCTGTTCCAGCAGAGCACAACCACTCCATCAGCATCATCATATATCTATTGTAACTACCAATGTGCATTATTGACATTACCTTTCAGAGGAAACGAGAAAAATATATTCAACCTGGTAGTTTATTTATGACGATATTAAGTAAAGCATGTAAATAACGGGTGATATTGTGCACTGTGTCCATTTCAATACATTGTACTACTTGTTCATAATATAAAACGTAATTTCTATATTAATTGTAAATAAGTGCAACATAAGAGAAAAACGTTATCACTACATGTAACTGTTTTATTTCATAATTTGGCAGGTATTATTGTACATTTACATTCCTGCGATGTGCATTTAAAATTAGCTCATCTTTACTAACCCCTGATCATCCTTACTAATCATCCTTTCGTGTTTTATGCATTTTTATGCACTATATAGTTGTTGTTTCATGTAACTTCTTCAACTCTACTTTTTCTACTGCCTCTATTGCACTGCATGTTTCTTTTCTCTTACTCACTTTTCCTTTCGATTAATGAGGTTACACTGTCTATCCTTGCTCTGTTTCTCTTCTTGCTGTCTAACTGACGCATGCCTCTTTTTCCTGCCCTCCATGATGTTTTTCTTCTTCTTCTCTCCTACACCAATAGGACTTTCCTGATGATGCGTAGATGAAAAGGCACACACACAAACATAGACAAAGACGCATAAATGCCCAAGCAAACGATGCACCAGCACCGAATTACATTGCGACATTCCACACCTTCTTTGAACCGATGCAGGGATACAAAAGGCTTCACATTATATATTGAATTTTGCCACTAGATGTCACTCTAAACTACTTTTTCAAGCAATATCGAAGAAACGGAATAACATTGGGTTGTGTAAGCTTCACGCCTTTGCTGGTATTAACAGACGATGCAAGCCAGGTATTGTGTGAGGTCGATGGCAGAGCTTACCAGCTGGGTTCCTTGTGCCAGAGCAAAGAGTGGACTTGCACTGTTGACAGGAGGCCCATCATAATAAGCAGCTTCATGGTCAGGCCTGTCCTGGTCTGTACCCCAAAGTATGAAAACAAAATCCTAGTCACGAACTTCTAATTATGACTAAAATGTACCTACAATTTTATACCAAGACTGAACTCACGTTGCGTGTTTTAATATGTACATTTGCAAATATTATGGCAAGTTATATAACTTTTATTCAATTAAATATATACTTGCACGCAGATGGGCATTTTATATTAAGTGCAATAACCTTTATCTATTCCATGCATGGATTGTGAATCTGGACAACTGTTTCTGCCTCCATTAATGCAGTGTAGGCCGCCATCACCCTGCGAAACATTGGGCATAAAGCAGTCACATTTCAGTTTAACATTTAACAGACTTGCTCTCTAACATGTCAGCCTTTGTTAAACATTGATGTATATTTACAATTATATTATAGATCCCGTGACTTCTTACCTGAGAATTATTAGAGTTCATTACTTGTGGCACTGGAACATTGTTTGCTGCTGCCCCTTGGCTAGGAGCGCCTGTAAAACAAAAGCAGTCATATTTAAAGAAATTCAAAATCAGTGAAACTTAGGACTCAAATTTATTTGAAATTTTCGCCAATCATTGCCAGATGCATATCATATCATCCTAACTGGTACCTGTAATAAGATGTCATTACAAAAAGTAGAATATTCCACAGCAGCAGAGAAAACAATACAATGTTCAAGGAGTTATCCATCTACTATGGTACTGTATTTATATAGCTGTTCAAAGCTCACATACGAGAACAGATTATAAAAGACAGACTTAGACAGTCCCAATTGTACTGTGCAATCTGAGCAGGTTATCACTTCGTGCTGAAGTACAATGATACATTCACAATTTAAACACATTTTATGGCCCAACAGACCTTAACATTTCTCACAGCACAGTATAAAGCAGTGGTTCTCAACCGGGGGTATGCAGACCCCTGGAGATATGTGGCAATGTCCCAGGGGTACGTAAGGTGATTTAGAAATGTGTGAAATTATATCATACATGAGTCATTGGTGAATAATCGTATATGAATCTGCCAATATAAAATATCTATGATAAAAAGTAATCTCTATGGTAATCTATAACGATAAAACATACCTTTCTAAACACATTGTTCTTAAACAATGTGTTTTCCAAGGGTAAACCAGCGAGTGCGTAAAATTACATCATGCATGCACAACATCCGTTTTTATTTTCTTGCAGTTACAAGCTAGTTAGCATGCTTTACAAAATGAATTGGTGAAAATATTGATGTTCATTATTCGCTACATTTATTTCTCAGACACCATGCTGGATCAAGCAAGGGGGTACTCGATTAAAACAAAATTCAACAAAAAAATGTTGAGAACCACTGGAATAAAGAATAAAATACATTTTAAAAAGCACCTTCGTTGCTGAACATCCCATTCTTGTCCACCAGGTTGCAGAGGTCTTTGAAGTTGTCCTCGTCACTCACCAAGTCTTTGATCTCCTGAACTGTGAGACCCAGCTGCTCGCTCAGCTCGTCGAAGACATCTATACATTCCACAGGTTTCTGTCCTGGACACTCTGCTGGGTGAGCCATGCCTGTGGACATTTTCATGCCTGTGGACATTTCCTGCTGCAATGTGGAGACATCAGGCCTCACCCTATCGATTAGTGATGGCCGTTCTGCATCAAAGATGGTAACTAGTTTGTGATGTTTGTTGGAATTTAGGTAAGCAGATTCTTCAATGTAGCTGGGATTCAAAGGCCATTCATGAGACAGTGAATGTACCATGTGTGGTGCAATATTTGTGCAAGCATCTAATTCCTCTCGAGCAGTGTATTCTTTCATTGGTACATAGACAGGAATGACATTTTTGTTTGAGTGTGAAATTAAATCTGGTCTCGGTCCTGTGCAAAGACATTCACCATCATTTGAACAAGAACAGTCTAAAGTTTTTCCTTCAAAGGTGTTTTCACCGTTGACAGACCTGAACCTAATGTCATCAATAGTGCAAGTATCACAACCATCTTTGTTGAAACATACAAATTCTCCTTTTGATGCACGATTGTGGGCTTCTTTAAAATTTTGACTATAAAACTCAGCGTTTGACACATGGAGGTCAAAATAGACGTTATTTTGTCCAAAGCCTCCATCACTTACAGAGTCCTTGACATCACTCATGATTGGTGATATTGTTCTACAGAGTTTGGTGGGCTGCATGCATTGGCACCCACTGCCTTTGCATCCACCAAGACCAAATGTCAAACTTTTGTATCCAGCTTGTCTGTTGGTGGCAATATCTAAAAAGACAAAATGAGGAAAAAGGTTATCGCCTTCAGATTTTGAATCAATATTGACAATGATATTAAAATATAACAAAGTTTAAAACAAGGTGCAACTTACTTCATCGAAAAGCACTTTAACGTTTATAAATTAAATGCACTCACCATCTTGATCATTGGATGAACAAGTATCTGTATTTGCACCAGAAATTGCATAATATGCAAATTGATTGACTTTTGAGTTGTAAGGCAAGTCTGTGTTAGAGACAGGCCTTTTGTCTCTTTGGTGAAAGTAATAAAGTAAAGGACTCACTTCTCTCAGTCTCTCGCACGTTTTCTGGACGATCAGTTGGTTCCCTGCACCCGAGCACTGCACAGACACCACCGGCTGAGGGACTTGGCATGGTCAGGTTTGTTTGCATGCTCATGTGTGTACATGAGTAGCATTCCTTCCATAATTCAACCCCCAAATATGTGCCGAAAGTGAGCTCTTTGAAATTACAGTTACTGTCAATGAGTTTGGTGTTGTAGCTGGTTTCATAGCTTTCTGTGATGTTGCCTTGGTCCATGGTCATAAGTGGCAGATCTTGGGTGCCTGCACAATACGGCATGCTGACATGCATCGGTTGTTTCAGATCAATATCACTGGTCCCCTCCATCAGGTTTGCACAGGTGCTCACACCTGTAATGCACAGGAAACACACTTACCAAGCAGATTAAAAAAGTATTACCATCAACACAAAAAGTCCCACTAACACATTCCTGCGGAGGGAGCTGGTAGGTACGTTGGGTTGCTCGGTCAATGGCCAGGGTCAACGGCGGCGTGCTGTATTCCGCAAATATGCCCGACTGTGAGGGCGGGCACAAGCCGGCGTGAGTAGGTTAAACGTTGAGTTTTATAAGGGCACCACGGGGTGACCAACCCCTCCCCACCCAGCCCCACCCCTCCCACCCAGCCCCACCCTCCTCACCCAGCCCCTCCCCACCCTCCCCACCCAGCCCCTCCCCACCCTCCCCACCCAGCCCCACCCCTCCCATTTTTGGATGCACGACGGACTGACACAATAATCCCCTGTGGGCTGGTGTAACCAGGAGGTTCCTACCAGTAAAACCCATGTCTGACACACCTAACCTACTGGCTCCAGGAGCTCTCAATCTCTCAGTCATAGCATCAGCTCGGAAGGAGAGCAAACAGAGGTGGCAAGAATCACTGGGTACAAATTAGCCACCTTTTTGACTCTACAACCTTGTCAAACTGGTGACTTAATTGGGAGAAATAATTTGTTGGTGTAGTTGGACTCAGGCGATGACAAAAGGAGCGACACTCCATCCATTTTATACTGTAAACTTTTTTCAAGTTATAAAAAAACTTTTGCTGGTTGGCTGGAAGCAGGGACAGAGGGACGGACGGTCGCCCACATCCAAACGCTATCACCAAAAATATAGCAATTAGAGTTGAGTGTGATTTCTAATCTCTCCAAGGCCGTAATCTATATACAGTATATAAAAGGGAAATTTGTGAATGTATGTCTGTTCAAAATGTTTAGCGTACTTCCCGACATGCAACAAACTTGAAATATGCCATGTCAGTACTTTCCAGACTGTACACCATGCAAAAATTATAAAAATAGACTTTTGTATATTTTTTGGGGGGGGAGGGGCGCAATAATGCATATATTTTGCACGGCAAGTGAGTTGTGACGTCACCTCTGTCATGTCACCCGCATGCGGAAGCGTAACGGCGCGTGCCTGCTCATGTCACGCATCACCCCCCCAACCCTCCACGAGTAAAGTGCCATACAAATGTGTTGCAGGTCTAAGGCGTTCTTCGCGCATTTCTTTATGATTTCAGTCGTTTACTGCCGTACGCACCCTGACAGTTGTGTCTGCAGCAAGCGCGTGTATGTGTACCTATGGACGTGTGTGTGTGTGGGGGAGCGATAGTGTAGCGGTTAGCGCGCTGCGCTATGAACCTGGCGACCCGGGTTCGATTCCCGCTCACGGCCAACACCAGTGACGATTATCTGAACCGGTCCCGGGCCTCCCCTAGGTCGACTCAGCCTCAAATGAGTACCTGGTGCGGTGTGTAAACATTGCCACTAGGGAGACAAAGGCGGTCGGGCGTGGTGCTGGCCACCCACCCCCTCGTGTACCGTTCCGGCCTTCATAGGTGCTCGCTAACAGCACTTGCCCCAACAGTCTGTCAAGGCTATACGGGGGATCTTTGTTTTTTTTTGTGTGTGGGGGGAGTGGTAGTGTAGTGGTTAGCGCGCTGTCTGTGTGTGTGTGTGGGGGGAGTGGTAGTGTAGTGGTTAGCGCGCTGTCTGTGTGTTTGTGTGTGTGGGGGGAGTGGTAGTGTAGTGGTTAGCACGCTGTCTGTGTGTCTGTGTGTGTGTGTGGGGGGAGTGGTAGTGTAGTGGTTAGCGCGCTGTCTGTGTGTCTGTGTGTGTGTGGGGGGAGTGGTAGTGTAGTGGTTAGCACGCTGTCTGTGTGTCTGTGTGGGGGGGGAGTGGTAGTGTAGTGGTTAGCACGCTGTCTGTGTGTCTGTGTGTGTGGGGGGAGTGGTAGTGGTTAGCACGCTGTCTGTGTGTCTGTGTGTGTGGGGGGAGTGGTAGTGTAGTGGTTAGCACGCTGTCTGTGTGTCTGTGTGTGGGGGGAGTGGTAGTGTAGTGGTTAGCACGCTGTCTGTGTTTGTGTGTGTGTGGGGGGAGTGGTAGTGTAGTGGTTAGCACGCTGTCTGTGTGTCTGTGTGTGTGGGGGGAGTGGTAGTGTAATGGTTAGCGCGCTGTCTGTGTGTCTGTGTGTGTGTGGGGGGAGTGGTAGTGTAGTGGTTAGCACGCTGTCTGTGTGTCTGTGTGGGGGGGGAGTGGTAGTGTAGTGGTTAGCACGCTGTCTGTGTGTCTGTGTGTGTGGGGGGAGTGGTAGTGGTTAGCACGCTGTCTGTGTGTCTGTGTGTGTGGGGGGAGTGGTAGTGTAGTGGTTAGCACGCTGTCTGTGTGTCTGTGTGTGGGGGGAGTGGTAGTGTAGTGGTTAGCACGCTGTCTGTGTGTCTGTGTGTGTGTGGGGGGAGCGGTAGTGTAGTGGTTAGCACGCTGTCTGTGTGTCTGTGTGTGTGTGTGGGGGGAGCGGTAGTGTAGTGGTTAGCGCGCTGCGCTACGAACCCGGCGACCCGAGTTCGATTCCTGCTCACGGCCAACACCGGTGACGATGGGCCTCCCCTAGGTTGACTCAGCCTCAAACGAGTAACTGGTGTGGTGTGTGAACGCCACTGGGGGGACAAAGGCGGCCGGGCGTGGTGAATCCAAGTCCCGGGCGAAGCCGGGTAGTGAAGCTCGTTATAATATATATTCCTCCCCCCCCCAATATTCAAATATGCTCAAAATGCCCCCCCCATATTGCTATAAAAAATATTTAATAAAATATTTGCGATGCTATGTAAATAAAAACAATTTGCTAAACCTTGGCCAAAATATCTGGACTTGTCTTCATATAACAATGCATAGATTTATGTTGATATGATTGTGGTTATGGTTGTACTTTATGAATCCTTAATCTCCGCCATTACATAGAATGAAACACGGTAAAAAAAAACAGAGCAATGTAATACAATACACTATTAAAAATGATTGTTAAAAAATAAAAAGTCCATGCCATGTGTTAGTGAATTTTTGAATATTTTAGGCAGGAAATTAGTTTTCAAATTTAATTTTTTTTTCTAGGCCTAGCCCCCCCACCATGTTGACGCCATGGCTACGGCCTTGAATCTCTACAAAAATCAAATGTTTCAGAGATCACAAGAGCTTTGGATAGAACTGTCCAGCTAATAAGACAATTTCAAACAAAATGTAAAAGCAATTCAAATGTGTCGTCTGCTGCAACAAGATCATAACGAGACAGCTACTAAACTTGACGCCGATAAACTACTCCCCACACCTCAGGGACCCCCAATGTCACGTTGCGGAGTCGCGCAAAGTAAATTAAGAAAATCAGGCCGATAGAAAATAACGCATTAGTGAACATGTTTCGTATTGATCGTCAAGTAGTAGGACGCCACATTAGTATACTCCACGTACGTGGTTTGTTTTTTTTTGGGGGGGGGTGGGCTTGTTTTAGGCCAAGGCCAATTACTCAAATCGTAAAAAACGAGAAGATCCAACTATAGATCGTCGTGTTTATTGGCCTTAGTGTGGCACAGGGTGTAAATAAAGTATGAACAGTATCCGAGTAAGCGTCATTTGTTGTATTTATGCCACCACGTTATATATTTTTTTAATCGACAAGGCCTATCAATTCTACAACCCAGGCCAATTGTCGCCATGTTACATCTCGACTCCTGTTCTTCCAACTTCAAACCGTGCTAAGCAGTATCTCGAATGTGCGGCATGCATTATCTAAATCTTCACACGTTCATCTACGTGCACCTTCACGCATTTGTGTAAGAAAAGAACATTCGCAAGTCTGCAACAACAAAAACCTACATTAATACGCGTTTACCCGATTGCTGTTGCTCCAATTCCACGCGGTGCAGCGTGGAAACCTCTCGGCACGCTCGCTCACAAATCCTCGAACGATAATTGGTCCGCGTCCTCCTACAATTATTACACGTGGACCAATCGCGTGCGTGCGATGCGACGACAAATTCTTGGATTTCCGCACCGCCACGTGCAAAGAGCTGAGCTACAAAGCTGCTGGATCATTTAAATGATACTCGACCGCGCAACTGTGGTGCGAAGCGCGCGCACGCGTTCATTGTAACGTAGGAGGTTTTTTTTTTGGTACGTTATTGTCTTATCCAGTACTTGTATTTTACATTATATGTTCCCAAACTATAAAGTATCCTAAAATGTAGTGTAAAAGGTGCGACCACGCAATGTTTTGCCGACCCCCCCCCCCCCATTGCGGAATGGGCTCCACTGGAGGGAGCTGTATTAGAAATAAAGATGCCGTCATATCTGAATATCTACACAAAATATACGTCCATTGACACACAGCTCATTAAAACAAGTATATGGGTGATCTGGGTAAAATTAAAGTCCAGCAATTTTTCGCAGAGAAGCATGTGCCGGAATATGACATACACTACAGGAACGAAAAGATTTCACTGTGGATCAAAATAATGGCATGCTTTATCAGAGCACAAGCTGACATGACAACCTGAAACAAGTGTACAGCAGGGGTAGGGAACCTTCAACGTCTTACTAAGGACCACGCAAGAGTTTCACACATAAACACACGCCTTAGCATCCAATAATAACGTGAACGATATTCAAGGCTCTACTTTAAAAAATGTGATACAATTCGAAAAACAATGTTGCTTTGTCAAAAAATATTCCTCTCCAATACCCAATTAGCCCAGCTAAGATGCTTTCATGTGGTTCATTTCGAAGTGGTAGTCCCAATGTGCAGGCCATGGGCTGCAAGAACTCTTTGGCCTGCGGCCTGAAGGTTCTCCAGCCCTGTTCTACAGTCGTGGGCTGAGGGTTGCCACTTGTCCGGGGTTTCCCAAAGTAATTATCTTATTGAGGAAGCTGTCCTGAAAAATGTGTAAGTCGCCACAGGACATTAAACGTGTCAATTTTGTGTTTAATGTCCTTACTAATAAATTATCAAAACACACATGTATGTGTAGTTCTCTCTTTAGGTTTCGTAAGATTCTTCTTCCCATCGTCTGTTTTTTGGTAA